GTCCACTTCAGTTCCTTACCTACCTCTGCTTCAAATTTCTATTCAATTATAGCACTCCATGGAGGAAACTTGTTAGATATCGTTTTGTTTTCTTGACTTGCCACCATTGTGATGTGATGGAAAATGCTTTAAGTTCACAAAAATAATAATGGATTGGTTAAAGGGCAACGACTGACTAAATCTGAGGCAGAAGTTTGTTTGTTGAGCGAGTTGCACTCTTTAAAAGTCCTGTTTTCACGTTTGTGGAGGAATTTTTGAAAATGTTTTATTCAGTAATAATATATTTGTGGGTTACTACATTATTTTGGATAAGGGTTAATTGTATGGTTGGTTATTGAGATTAAAAAAAACGTTTAAGTTTGGTCACTGGTCACTCGAAATATTTAAATCCATCGATGCTACTTCAGTTTATTGAAAGCGTTTAAGTTTGGTCATTCTCCGTCTAATTCCGTTAACTTTGGGTGATGTGGCAATCAATTTTCAAAGTTGAACGTTAACTTAATGACGTGGCAATTAAGAAATAATAAATAAAATTTAATTTAATTTATTTTAATGTCCAACTCATTTTTACCCTGAAATAAATAAATAAATAAAATAAATGGAAATCATCTTGTTCAGGCTTTCTCTTGTAATCCTGAGTTCCCTCTGCCTCAAACTTCTCGGCTGCGATGGAGAGGATCGAATCACTCCAATCCGATCATTTTCCGGTGACCAAACTATCGTCTCGGCAGGGGGAGCCTTCAAATTGGGTTTCTTCAAGCCTAGGAAATCAGGAAATTACTGCGTAGGGATTTGGTACAAGCAACTTTCTCCAAGCAAGGACGGTGGTTTGGGTAGCAAATAGAAACAGTTACTCCCTTGTTCCCAACAGGTTCTCTGCCGAGCTCAAGGTTACCGATTACAGATACCTGGCTCTCTATGACGGCTCAGATCGACAAATTTGGTCCACGGGTATGGTCGACAGGCAGTTCCGCTGCGCAGAAGTTGTCCTTTTGGATGACGGAAATCTTGTCCTAACATCAAATGGGACTTCTCCAATTTCCCCAAATCAATCGCTTTAGCATAGCTTTGATCACCCTGTAGATACCTGGATCCCCGATAGCAAGATTCGGTTCAACAAGGTTACGGAGCAAGATATCTCCTGACCTCGTGGCGAAACAAAGAAGACCCTGCTACAGGCCCCTTCTCATTCAAGCTGAGGCCAAACTGGTCACTCTAGTTCCGGAACATGTACACGTCTTTCCGGGCGAACGAATCTTTCTCTGGTCGTTTTTCCGGCTCCATTTCGGAGATGAAATTGAAGCTTATAAGCCTTTCTCACGTGGATAATAATTGGAACGAGAGCTATTTAACTTACTCTCAGTACATCTCCCAGCTTCATAAACTTCAGGAGGAACCCAACCTCCGCCGCGCGGGCATCACCACCGTGTCCTGTTTCCCCCATTGCCGAGCCCTGGCCCGGCTGATGGAGTCGATTCTGATCTCGGGGAAACGTCGTGCCCAATATCTAAATGATATGATGCTAATCAATAATGATATGCTTTTGTTGTTGTAGCGAGCCGCCGACCAAATTATGTGTTTCCCGAGTTGAATGTCACAAATGCTATAGACAGGGGAAGCAAATTATGTGAAATGGATTTTTCGAGTCGAACTCGCGATTGTTGATTTCCCAGACCTAATTTGATAATTATAATATTTTTCATTGTTTATTTATTAATTTTATGGTAAAAAAGAGTTTGGCATTAAAATAAATTAAATTTATTTTATTTATTATTTATTAATTGCCACGTCATTAAATTAACGGTCAACTTTGAAAGTTGACTGCCACATCAGCCAAAGTTTACGGAGTTGGACGGAGAATGACCAAACGTGAACGGTTTCAGCAAACTGAAGCACCACCAATAGATTTAAATATTTCGAGTGACCAAACTTGAACGTTTTTGTAATCTCAGTGACCAACCATGCAATTAACCCTTTTGGATAGGGCATTGCTATTTGTCGCCCTAAATTTTCTTATTTGTCGCCCTAACTAAATCACATTTACTTTAATGCCCTTGTTGCAAACATAGCTCGCCAAACCCAAAAGCTGATATTGTCAGCGCCAACAGGAGTTCACTTTTTCAGGAATAGGAGGACTATTGTTCTTAGCATGCTTGTCCTTAGGTTCTGAACTTTGTCTAACCCATTTGATTTTCACATCTTAACTAGTGCAAAATGTATATAATAAAAGAGAATAATTGGATAAACCCTAGATATCTATTCATCATCCTTATTAACTTGCTTTCTGCAATCGTTAACTTGCTTCTTCTTCCTCCTTCCATCTGGCGCCTGCAGCATACTCTGGTTGGGGCAGGAGCATGGGAGGGGAGGTGATGACTAATGAGGCGACGGTTCTTTTCATGAGTGAGACTGTGAGAGCGGCGGATATGGGTTGGGGCGAGGAAGGGATTGTTTGGTTAGGGTTAGAATTGAAATTGAGTTGAAGGGTAAATTTGTCAATTTATTCCATTTTAGGGCGATTTTATTTGAATTTTAGGGCGACGAATAGCAATTCAGTTTGGATAACTTTATAATAATAGACTACTTTGGTAGGGATGGCAACAAAACCCCAACCCATGGGTACCCACTCGACCTAATCCGGTCAACGTGGGTAAAATCCGTATTGACGGGTTTCGGGTCGGGTTTGGGTTTAAACCCGTTCACTATTTACCGGGTTGGGTTTGGGTTTAGGTAAACCCGCCCCATGGGTACCCGCCCACACCCATATAATTAATTTTCTCGGTATATTTAATATTCTAAACAACTAATCTTATTTATGTTTGTGGAGACATGTCTAATTTTTTCTTTCTAACTATGTAGAATGAAGTTGATGTTATTGAGTGGAGAGCGAAAAAACTTAAGAGATTTTTCCATAAATAGCACTTTTAATTTTTTTTTCCAAAAATAGCACCCAACCCCGAAAAATTGCAAAAATAGCACCCTTTCCTAAAAACCGCCACTCGAACCAGCGGTTTACACGAAAACCGAACGGTGGGGGCGCGGTTTTCGTTGAAAACCACCCTGGGTGGGGGCGGTTTGGACCAAAACTACCAGCCCACCCAGAGGTTTTGGTCCAATTTTTTTTTTCCAGATCAACTCCTAACCTCGGCGAAAACTTCAAACGAACGTAACTTTCCACTCGGGTATCCGATCGCAGCGATTTTTTTTTTAACCCGCATAACTTTTCAAGATCTTGCTCAAACTACCATAGGCAGTTTGGTCTCGCCTTCGTCACGAAAAAACGTCATTTGCTATCCCGAACGAGCCTTTTTTCGATTTCGTCAAACTTTGGGCGACCATAACTTTGTGCTCCATAATCCGAACGTCATGATTTTTTTTCATTTCGCATAACTTTTTAAGGACTACAGCTTTTATCATAGAGATAATTTCGGAATGTACATGGATTTGTGAAAAGGGCAGGTAACGTTATTCCCAAAACCATGTATATCCAACAATAATTCATGTTATGAAAATTTCTTCCTAGTAAAAATTGCAGTCCTTCAAAATTTATGCAAAATTAAAAAAAAAATCACGACCTTCGAATTTTGGAGCACAAAATTATGGCTATTTAAAGTTATTGAGGATTGTTAGCGTTCAAAGACTAAAACTTTGTCAATATGTAATTGTCTCAACAAAAGATTTATAGTTTGGTGGTGAAGATGTTATATTAAATTTAGTTAACTATTTATATTATTAGGGTTCAAACCACCACCCCAACAACATGTTGCTTTTTTTAATCTCTACTAAATAAAAAGATTTAATATGGGATGATGCTGTTTCGAACCAAAGACCTCTTGGATACAAAGAAACAACTAAACCAGTTGTGCCAAAACCACTTATGGTGATTATTTGAAAATAAAAAAAATTATTACAAACCTCCCCGACCCCACGCAGTCAGGAAAACAGCACCCCACCCTGCGGTTTTGAAAAATGTGTTATTTTTGGAATTTTTTGGGACTGGGTGCTATTTTTGGATTTTTTTTAAACAGTGCTATTTATGGAAAAAGTCCAAAACTTAATTGACAAAGAGAAAGAAGTTTTCAATCAATCATATTATTTATGGATAATTTGTGATTTGCTTCAATTTTTTTGAGTTTTCTAGATTGGTGTTGAACAATTTGTATAGTTAATTTGTGATTTGCTTGAATTTTCTAGAATGGTGTTTTATATATGGATAATTTGTATTGAGAGATTGATATTTGACTTTAATTTTGATAGGAACTTGTTATTGTAAATTTTTTTACGACAAAAATCCGTGGGTACCCATGAATGGGTTTGAGTTTTTCAAACCCAGTGGATTTTACCCCGAGTTTTTTTCACAAATAAACCCATGAATTTGGGTTTGGCAAAACCTGACTCAACCCGACCCATTGCCATCCCTATACTTTGGCCCTATTTTTTTATGGCTAAATAAAATAATTGCATTAAGCACGACCATATGAGGAAAATACCTAGCTGCCTCTCAAAATTGTCAGAACATTTACATCTTTTGTGTGCTAACCAAGAAAGAACCTCAAAAAGACAAAAAAAAAAAAAAAAACTCTAACTCACTATCAATCTAAGAAAACCTAGTATACCATCTCAAACTAAGGCGGTGCAGACAAATCTAGAGATTCTGGATACCATTTGCACGGTAACATACATCTCGACATAGCTGCCTGCATACAACTAACTTAAGGGGATTTTGCAGCCACAACACCATACAATCGAGCTCACCTCTCCCTCCACACCATGCTTACCTTCAAGCTCCAAACCAGGCGCCGCACACGAGTAGCAGCGGAATGCGTTAGGGTGGTAACTGGATTTCTAGTAGCCACCGTGGGAACATAAGTATCCACCATTTATTTTTTTCTCTTTTCTCTTGTTTTAATCTTACGGTTAAGATTGCCTCAGGATAATTTTGGGAAAAAAGAGACCACACTTGATTATTCTATATATTTTACCATAACCCTACTTCTACCCTCACTCCCTCTAGCCAAACCCGACGCAGCCGCAAGCTCTCACCCTCCCCGACGATGCCTTAGGGTTTGCGAGAGGCTGAGGGACACTGCCCTCTATCGCCTCCCCATCTGTCAGTTTCTTCCTCGGCGGCGACATGGGTTTAGAGAGGAGATGGACGCTGACACCTTCCTTCGCCGACAGCTCCGCTTCTTCATCCATCGTCGCCTGCTCTTCCTACTACTCCTTCCGCGCCTCTTTCTCCGGCCACGGGCGAGCCACCAGGCGGATGGGTGGGGATCCCAGCACGGGCGCACTCACCCTCGTCTCCGGCAATGCAAATCGACAGCTTTGGGCCGCCTCTTCCCTCCGCTTGGCGTCACGCCAGGCCTCCCCGCTGACTGCCGTCATGTCCTCAGCGCTCATTAGTTCCTCTGGCGGCATGGTTAACGGCACAACCTCCACCGTCTGTTCCATCGTCGTCGTCGCCTAGACTAGACCCATCGTCCCATGCGCACCTAGTGCGCTGCCGTGCAAACCTCCAGCATCTTTAAGGATTGGTATGTTTTTTTTAATGGTAGTGATTGTCTTCGTAGTGGTAGTGTTTTTGTCGTATTGGTATTGTTTTTTATCGCATTGATATTGATTTTGTCGCATTGGTATTGATTAAATCTGCAATGGTATTAGTGTTTTGTGAAATAGTGGTGTTTTTATTTAGGGGTGGGCAACAGGACTAGACGGGATACCCGACCCGTTTGAAACGGGTACTTATTATCGTTTGGAGACCAAAGTCTATCCCATATCCCAAACCCGTATGGGTAAACGGGTACCCATTACCCGTAAGAGACGGATAACGGGTACCCGTACCACCCATAAATACCCAAAGTTTGAATCACTAGAATTTTAACAAAAGTTTAAGCTTAACTTGTACTTGCCTAACAATCACAAAATTCATCACAATCACAAATACTCGGTTTGCAACCTACACATTCATGAACAATTACAACGCATAGAAATAAAGTATTCCATAAGTTATAACAACTAAGAAGGGAGCTTCTGGTTGCTGCTGTTATGCTTCAAATAAGTGGATTAAACTCGTGATGCTGCTGTTTGCAAACTCCATTTGACACAACCAAGGCATGTTGCTGTTGTACTAGTTCTACTACTACAAGCTGCTGTTGTTCTCCGTTCTGCAAGCTGTTGTTCCATTCGAAACAACCAAGGCATCCCTGATCATAATGACAAAGGAAGGGCAACAGAGCAATAAACAAAAAATAAAGGCACCATTCAACTTCAGTAAAAGGCACCAAACAATAAACAACAAATAACATTCATTCGACACAACAAACTAGCAGAGGAATCCTTAATAAACAGCTGGCAGCTTAGCTAATAGTGTGGCATGTGATGATCAAAGTGTTTAATTCTCATGATAACAGCTGGCAGCTTAGCTAATAGTGTGGCATGTGATGATCAAAGTGTTTAATTCTCAAATCATGAGACCAGTGTAGTTTAGTGTAGTGGCTGCCTTTGTTTTTAATTATTCCTGAGGGTATTATTACAATTAGAAAATCATTTTGTTAGAGAGCTTAGTTAATGTACAAGGATCCTGAATTAGTTTAATCTACTCATTACAGTTACATCACATATTGTGACTACTGTCATCAAAGAGAGAAAGGCAAGAAAGTCCTTCTACTGACTTGTGGCAGATGAAGTTCCCCCTCCACTAGAGGCAAATGATAGTGCTCCAATGGATTGCAACACTAATTTAAACAAATGTGAAATAACAATTTACACACACAAGCATTAGTTAGAGTAAATATTTATAAATAAAAGTAAAAGTAAATCACTACCCCATACCTTCTTGGTATTCCATTTCTTGTTCGGATTGAGGCATATCTTCTTCATCAATTACAACTATATTGTTGTTGCTTGACAACCAATCAGCACCACAAATCAAAGCCTCAACCATCTGGGGAGCCAAAGAAGTTATAAACTCATTTAGAATCCTTCCTCCTGTGCTAAAAGCCGATTTGGAAGCAACAGTTAATATTGGATAGCTAATACATCCCGAGCAATTTCAACCAAAACAGGAAATCGCAAACCATGAGTTGACCACCACTTAAGAATATCAAAGGAGTCCACAACCGAACCATTATCTTCTTGTTGCTTCACCTCGAATTGACTCTCAGTCAAATAGAGTGTCAACTCAGAAGCATCATTGTCGTCTCCTTCATTGTCACTATCTTCTATAGCACTACACGAACCACGATTTGATAGCCTCCTTACATCAACATTAACCGAAGTCTTTCTCCGAGAATGTGTAGAAGAGTCTTGAGAGTTAGAGTTCATCATTGGACGAGGTGGAAGCAACAAACTCTTGTAATACTCAAAGAGTTCAGAAAACAAGCCTCTCAATTTGGCCACCATCGAAGCTGCCCTTTCCATTCCATACACCTTCTTTAAACATTTGTGCACATGCTTCAGTTTTTGTTGAGGATCTAAAGCCGCAGCAATGTACAGGATCTTGTTCACCCCTTAGTTACCCATTGTTTCCTCCTCCCAATACTTAGCAACTTTAGACCTCATTTTTTCAGCCATTGATCTAACCCTAGTACTGATTGTGCAATGTCCTCCCCTTTATGACTAGTTATCTTCTTAAAGCAAATGATTTTCTTATGGAGCTGCCAGCTTCTGGAGATGAAATGAGCTGTGATAGTTATGTAATTATCATTCTTCAACGATGTCCAAAAATCTATTGTGATTGAAACCCTCCCCAAGCCTTTACTTTTGAAGAAGGACTTCAAGCTATCTTTTCGCTGAATAAACAACTTTGCACAATCTATCCTCACTGTCTTCCTACTTGGAATTTTGAACATGGGGCAAACTCGAGACATGAAATGACGAAAACCCTCCCTTTCACAAAATCTGAATGGTTGCTCATCAAGCATAATCATTTCTGCAAAAGCTAATCATGATTCTTCTTGATTGAATCGCCAAGTTGATATTCCCACTGCTCCGTCCCCGGAGGCACTAGGCTGCAAACTCAGAGATGGTTGTTGAAGTAGCTCCAAATGTTTCCTGTCACAAGAGATCTTATGGTTCTTCAAGCCATTCGTGCCATGGCTGCTTGAGATAACAACGACAAAGCCACAACGATTGCATTTTCCTTTACGAATCTCAACCGGTGTGTTTCCTTCTTTAGCAAATAATACCGAGAATCCGACCCAATGTTGTGATCGAAGGACAGGTGCTTTCCGCTTTGTAGACACTGATGTGTCCTTGTTACTTTCTTCACTACCAGTACCCACATCATTACTTGCTTGTCAGTTTGAGGGGCTTCATTCTCTGCTTGTTCAATTTGAGGGGCTGCATTCTGTTGACTAGCCATGGAAATTAGAAAACCAAATCAACAGAAGCTGGCTGGTAGGGGTGGTGGTTGGAAATAGACAGAGGCTGGAAATTAGAAACCTAACTAGTAACTGGCACAACAATTAACTGTCACACCCGCTCTTTCTTAAACTGTTTAATTACGTCTATGTCATGAGTAATGATTTAAATATGTGCCACATTTGATTAACTAGTGCTCACTGATGGTGACGAACGTATTTCAAACCTAGTTATTTACCTAAGATTAAAAATAATAGGAAAATCATCATAATAAATTAGAATCAAAATAGAAATTATATTGCTATGTTACAATCTAGCTAGACTATGTCAAGTTGTGAGCCTGTATTTGAATTTGGTTAAGTGTAGGGGAGTGGGAAAAGAGCCAACTTCACTTGGTTAAGGGAAACCGAGTCAGTTCCACAAAGGCAAGGGAGAGGAGTTATTACCTTTGGACATCTCTGGTTGCTGACAGGCAGAAGCTCCCCTGTAACACCCCGACCTTTGGGTTCAGGTTCGACCATTATACGTGAACGGTTGGATTAACGGTTATGTACTAAGGATTGAAACCGCGGATTAGGAATAATAATAATAATAATAATAATAATAATAATTATTATTATTATTATTATTATTAAAAAAAAGAAACGGGCCAAGAGGGCGCTCGACCCGCATTGTAAATTTGCATCACCTCCCCCTGCGCATGAATCCGTCCCAATTCACTAAAGGGGTAAAACGCCAAACCCTCCCGCAGCAGAGAAAACCCCACCCGTCCCTGTTGCTCTCGTCTCTCCTTCCTCCCACGCAAAAAACCCACCGCCACCCAAAACCCTCTCTCCGCGCAGCCCCGACCTGTCTCTCTCGGTGATGATGATAACGCCGACTGCAAGCAAAGGGGAGCTGTGAACCGGTTCCGTTCCAGCTGGCGGGAGGCAACTAGGCAACAAGGATGCCTACCCCAATCAGCCCTCTCTCACCTGGCCATACCGAGGCAATAAAAGATAGGTATTTGTGCCATGATTGTCAATTTGTTCATAACATGTGGGCTACTGTGATGGAATTTTAAGTTCGGACTTAATAAGAGGGAGTTGATTAATGGAACCGAGTACATTGTTACAATTCTTTGGATGAAGCATAATCTTTGGCAGAGGCGGTGATGGATTTTGAGGAGTGGTGACTTATTCAACTCATTCGCTTTGTTAGTCACATGATGGATTAAAGAGCTGATTAAGTTAAAGGGAAGAAGGAACTGATGAGTCGTCTTTTCAAAGTGAGTGTAAAGGGGGTAAATTCTACGCCTTACGTATTCTTTTGAGTATTATGATTTTAAGTATTTTAGTGAATTGGTTACCGTTGCTTGATTAAGTTTTTGATTGATTATTTGTGCCTTGCTTGAGCTATGATTGAGGTGTTTTTGTGCTATTTGATGTGATTTTGTTTGAGCTATGCTTGAAGTGAACGTTTATTAATTACTTTGGAATTTTTACGAGTATAAGTTATTGTTAAAGTTTAAGAAACAAGTTCTTTTTCAGAAGTAGCTCACCTTCAAGAAGGTGAAGTCGTTTTAAGTGTTTTTAGTCACTAGCGCCAGTCTGTTGACTTTGGAGACATTTTGAGATAGAGCAGCAGTTATGCTCTTGAGACTTTTAAGATGGGCAACAGTTATGCCCTTGAGAATCGTGGTGAAGAGCCACCACGATAAGTTTAAGATGTTAGGGGGATGAATCGTTACGACTTCCCTAACTAAGTTTAAGTGTAAGGAAAGCCTGAGTGGCTTCTCATACGTATGAGTTGGCAACCGAACTAGCTAGTGAGGGATCCCAGTGTCGGTCAAGTATTTAAGTCAAGCTTTGAGATTTAAGAGTGGAGTAACAGTAACTCCCATACAGTTTTAAGAGTTAAGCTTTTTAATAGTGGAAGTACAAAACAACTTCCACTTAGTTAAGTAAAGTGATCAAGTATTAATAAGATGTTAAACGTAAGGGCGTAGACTGACCCCATCTCACTCACCAGTTTGAAGAGGAAGAAGCTAGAGGAGCAGTTAGGGAGCAGTGAGATCGAGAGAAACAGTTCGAGTGAAGCTAGTTAGAGGAGGACGGTACGAGCGTCACAGAGGATGTCTAGTCAGAGTTTCTCACACAAGCAGCAACACCTGAGACTAGTTAGTTATTATGTTTTATAATTATGAGTATAGACTGGAGATCAAGTTGAGTTTTAAAGTTTGAGTTTAATTTGCCCACGTATTAGGGCTTTGCTTCGAACTTCAAGTGTGTTTTCAGTATTTTTAGTTATGTAAAGCTTTCCCGCTGCAATTTAAGATTTGAGTATTTTATTTGTCAATGACATTTTAGTAAAAGTAGTACCCGGCCGGGTTAGGGTGTTTCATCCCCTTCCCAAACCAAAATATAAAGTGAGCACGTAGCACTATTGTTGCAGGAAATTAAATGATTTGAGAGGTGGATGGGTTAGCTTAGAAGGGAGGGAGTGGCAGGCATTTCTCATTCCATCCATCCTCTTTGTACGCCCAGAGAGAGAGAGAGA